ATAGGCTCCGCCCACAAAAAACGTCATCCCTGTTTCGGATCTGTAAGACTATCCCACTCTCTAACGTCAATTTCGTTGAATAACAGTGTTTATCGCTGGGTGACAAGCTCTTGTAATATGCGGAGAACATTTTGAAAATGGCATCTAATCAATATAATTATAATCTTTTTAAACCTAACTATTTTGTACCGTATCCGTGAAATTCTCTAGCTGTAAAGGCTATCTCTCCCAGGTTTTCTGCAACCATGATGCCTCCGCATCCTGAATGTTTACAAACCGGTAATTGGTCTATACAGGTTAGATGTGATCCACCTCATAGTAACAATCCTGTCAGATCGTCCATCCTTTGAGTGAGAGTGTAACGTTACAGGTCGGCTGATCTGGTTTAGTGGTTAAAGTTAACCTTTTCGACATGTTTCCGTGTTGTTGTTGCTCAGTACTAGAAAATGTTGTCTGGGGGTTTGGCAAAAAGAAAAGTGGGACGGTGGGCGGTGCTCGGGGTGGTGACTGAATCGGTGACTGTAGTTCTGACGTCAACTTTTTACGGAAGTCACAACGGTTCGTGAAAAATAGCTAGAACTTTAAGCAGGCTGTGTGAATTTTACTGTGGACTGACTGTTTTGAAACTTATATGGTAGTTAAATAGACCCTAGACTTCAGTAATCGTGAAAAAAGCCAGGAAATTTCAGTTTTGACAATATGGGACCTTTAAGATTAATCAGTAGAGCTAGGGAGAAATACAAATACACCCAGGTGACACAATCACCTAACGTTACTGGTTGATATTTACCTTGTAGACTTTTCCAAAGGCTCCATCCCCAAGTTCTCCCACGATCTCCCAAACCTCCTCTGGGTTGATGTCTCTGTGAACGTGCTCATATTGTTTCTTCTTCTTCTCCGTGCCCAGCTTAAATATCTTCCGAAAATTGAAAAAGGACATTTTCTAAACGCAATCTAAATGACTATCGGTGAAAAAAAAAAAGACTGACACGACATAAACTTAATATTGTACTAAACGAATCACTTGGGGAGTTGACTAATGGGCTAGCTGTGGATGATCGGACCCCAGCTAACTCATTTAACTATACAGTTGCAGACAGCTCCAAGTAATCCTGTAAATGATGGCGAAGATATTAGTCTCTCTGGAAGAGGCAGAGATCAGCCTTTATGTGGCATTTCGCGTCTCCATAACAGTGAATCATCAAGACGAGCGACTCCTTCCACCAAACAGGGATGGAAAAGTAACAGTCCACTCACTTCCTCAGCTAGCTTCACAACGGCTACATGTGTGTGATCATCTGTATTTACCTCACCCGTCTAATAAAAAATACAGCTTCCTAGTCAAACAAGCATCGAGTATTCAAATGTGTCGTTTAAAAAAACTACGGTACAGTAAAATCCATAAGGGTGGAGGCGGATAGGTAGTTAGCACACCGTAAAAATGCGGAGCGGATGCTGATGATCAAACTCCTGTCTGAGCTCAGTCTACTCCTCACGGGAGGGGTGTGTTTTACAGCTTAGCCAACCAAAACTGTTTCGATAAAACCGATTAAACAAACCACAGCACACCCGCAGGCCAGTGGACGCTGCTCGCGGTGTTAAGAAGGACGTTTGTCGCGCCTCAATCAACCGTCGCTCGGGTCTCTCGTTACTAACTTCTCGAGAATGTTGCGGGAAAACTCGAAGCGCGAACGTTTGGACAGGGAAGGCGCGTGCTCGGACAGATTGCAACCAATAGTGGTGGGGGATTTGATTCATTCAAATGAATCGATTCACTAGAATCACTCAATTTAGGTCAATCTTTCCTTTAGTTCGTTCAGAAACGACACTTCAGTTCATTCAGTTTGTTTATGAACTCCTCGTTCAGCGAAGTTCCGCCCCGAATCCAAAAGGGTCTAGACCTTTATTTTTTTTTATTTGGTCTAGTCTGAGAGTGCAAGCCTGAGAATGCACGTCTGAGAGTGCAAGCGCCAGCTGCAGCCAGACCCTTCTCTGCAGTTCAGACTCAGCGCAGAAGAGACACGTTCAATGAAGGGGCGTATTCTCAGTATCACAGGTCCAACCACTGTTGGGGAGTAACTAGTTACATGTAACTAAATTACGTAATTTAATTACAAAATAAATCAGTTACAGTTTACTGTGTAATTAAATTACAGTTAGGCTACTTATGAAAATGTTAACGATTACAAAGAGATTTAATTAAAAGTATATACAGAACAGCAATTATGAACGTGCATTTTGAAATGCTTTGAGTGATTTTAAAAGGATCAACTCTGAACAGGCAAGCAGACGAGCCCAGAACGCAATGCAGCGCAGAAGAGACACGTTCAATGAAGGGGCGTATTCTCAGTATCACAGGTCCAACCACTGTTGGGGAGTAACTAGTTACATGTAACTAAATTACGTAATTTAATTACAAAATAAATCAGTTACAGTTTACTGTGTAATTAAATTACAGTTAGGCTACTTATGAAAATGTTAACGATTACAAAGAGATTTAATTATAATACCCACATACAGATTTAATTGATATCTTTCATACATTGCATTGACTGCTTTAAAATATGAGACACCAATGTTTCAGGAGTTTAGGACACATGCTTATTCGATAACTGTTTTATTTCCTATTTGGGTTGATGTATATTTATTTTTTAAGATTAACTGTTTTTTTTTTCCCAAGCCATTGTTAGGTGCCAGTGTTTCCTGTCATAGCTATGCAAAGATTTGATTTCAAAAACAGTATCATAGCTATTAAACTACCTTGTTATGGTTTTAAATATGTATTTAATCTCAGAACAATCTCAAAGTAAATCTGATTTTGTGGTGGCTGTGCTTGAAAAATTAAATTATTATAACCCTAATCCGAGTGATGAAGGATTTCTGAAAGTCTGACAGTAATCAGTGTTGAGTGAGTCCTACTGTAATGTTAATCCTGCCTGGTTTACATGTTTCAAAAAGATTAACAGTTGAAAACATTGCATATTTAGAAAAGTAATCAAAAAGTGATCAAATGTAATCAGTTATACTACTTTAATAAAGTAACGTGACGTCTGCGATTTTCATGTACCACTATCAATTCGGACGGGACTAACATATCCGTGTTTATTACAGAGGTGGGAGGGTCTGTTTTGTACATCTGTGCGTTTTGGAGAGCACGCGCTCTGTATGCGTGCATTGCGTATAAGTTAGTCATTCGGATTGATTACCATTAGTATAATCAGTTTTACTACAAATACCATAGTGAACCTAAATGGCTATATAGCAAAACCATATTAATGTGTGGTTACTTTGGTTTAACTATTTTTTTTATTATTATTTATTTGTAGTAAACCCATGTTTAATTTTCATAAAAGTACATATGTAATTAAAACATTAGCCTATGTAATTGAGCGCAGAAATGAACGTGAGTAATCTTACCTGACGCTGATATTACAATAGCCAAACATTATATAATATTACAATATGTAATATATCCTTATATATATATATATATATATATATATATATATATGTTAATGATGAAGCGCTAATATAAGTAATAAAGAAGGTAATATATTATTCTAATATGGTTATTATATTTATTTTATTCGCATATATAACAGTTATCTGTATAAATTATAAAACACTATGACAAGGTAATGTTATTATATTATATATATTTATTTATTACATTTTATATTATCGTCTCACACATGGAGGATGGTGCCCTCTGCTGTTTATTCATGCTCTTTGCATGTGCACTTTTCACAAACCAAAAAAATTAAATTAATTAAATAATTATATAAAAGACATTTCAAACCGGCTGCTCTCGAAACGCTCTTGCGGTGCTTTGATGCCACACGTGACAGTGATGCGAGTCAAGAGACAAAAGTTCAGAATTCTTCAACTTTATGCAAATAAGCAGCGAATTTCGCAAGCGACAACCAATGGGAGTGAAGTCAGTGGAGAGCACGTAATTCATCTGCTGCAGAGCCATAGAAACATGTTTGACACACCCACCAAACAAGAGAAAACGTTGCACACCGTTTCCAGGAAACATGACGTTCAAACCGGAAACCGTAGCAAATCGGTGCACACCGGTTTGAGCTTCAACATGCCCCTGCTGTAGTGGAGTGTTACGGGGTAACTAGGCAACCAGTAGTGGGAACGCCCACTAGCGACCTCAATTGCCAGCCACAAGCGACAAGCAGCGAAAAAGTCGTGAACGGGGCTTTAACCAGGAACATACTCTGAGTTAAATGAACTTACTCCCGGACGCGTTTTTGGAACCAGATACCTAGAGTAAGCAAGGTTTGGGGTTAATCAACCGAAAGTTCAGGGTTTAGCTGACGGTAAGTTAACCGTGCTTTCTGGAATACACCCCCGGGAGGCAAATATATCAAACATGCGCGCGATACGGTAATTCACGTTGGCCAAAACGCACAAGGAAACGCATTGTAAAAAAAAAAAATATCACCAGCAATCACAGACATTCGCATTCGGACAGGATTAGTTTTCTCAGAGGATCACTGAGTTTGCTGAAAAACAGTTGGTAATTTGCTCTGGAATTATTACAGAGGTTGTGTGAGAAAAACACAGACGTGGCAGATTCGGACGTGATTAAAATCACCAAGTACGTCTGTGAAACACACATTTCTCTAACGACCCCCTGTAAAACTAGTCCCGTCTGAATAGGGCTTTTGACAATAATTGGGAAAGGACATGCTTGTTGAATTAATGGCCATACACTGACATCTACTGGGGTAAACAGTGTAATGCAGAAGTGTCACACCTGGAAATGTTACTCATGTAGCCTACTCATAAAGCCACTGCTCTTCTGTTATTCCTGAAAATGGAGAATGTGGATCGAATTTTGTCTGAAAGTCCCTCTATTGAAGAGCTGGAGGATATTTTACATGGGGGTCCGTTATCCTGTAACCATGTCGATGAAGTGTGGCCTAATTTGTTTCTGGGGAACATGTAAGTGCATTTATGTGGGACTTCTCTTTTTCATAGGTGTTGATTAAAAGAAAACAATCACCCTTTATTATGCCATTCTTTCATATATAGGTACATGTCTCACGACAGATATGGCCTATGGAGACTCGGTATAACTCATGTTTTGGATGCTGCACATGGTAAAATGTGTTGCAAAGGAAGTGATGATTTTTATGGAACAACCGTAAAGTACTATGCTGTGCCAGCAAATGACCTGCCTACATTTGACATTTCACCATTTTCATACCCTTCAGCACACTACATTCATGATGCTCTAAGCACAACAGGTGGTATGTAAAAAACATAATTTCCATTTTGAAAAACAGCATGACATTTTTAGACATGAACACTTGTTAGGATTTTTTTTTTACTTTTTAAAATTAATTTAAATTTTTGATTTTTCGAAATGTATTTATCAGTTAATAATAGAGAATAGATAAAGTATTGAAGCATATTTTATTCAACAGCTAAAGTGTTTGTGCATTGTGCTGTGGGAGTGAGCCGTTCAGCTGCTCTGGAGCCCGTTCTTCGTACGTCGCTTATTACATCCGAGATAAAATGTCACATCCAAGATGATATCATCGCGCTAATCAGGATCTGGCTAATTTGGTTCTTCTAACTAACATGTTGTTGATGATTAGTATGGCTGGATTGAGTTATCTGAGATAATTGCGCGTTCATGGGTCGGTTTAAAAGGGGTTATGTATCGATACCCGAAACCACGATCAGCAGTGCAGCGATTGGCTGGCGGCAAGACAGCAACGTAATGACATCATATAATTAAAAAAGACACCTGACGAAAAACTTGACAAATTTCTGGACTTTTATAAGGAAACAGCCAAGCGAACAAAACTACATAAATGTTATAATAGATAAATGAAATGTGCACTGTTTTTATTTTACTTTTAATTTTTTACATGATTCCCAGTTATTTATATTCACGATTTCTAATATTTATACAGGCTTTCCATTTTTATTTCAATGTAGTAATTAGCAATTCATTTAATTTTATATTTGAACAGATTTGTTACATGACAGCATTAATTAAAGTTTCTTAAGGGTCAAGATCATGTTATCTGCATCTCCTGCGCTCCTTCAAGCCCCTCCCATAATAGCTGTCAGCACTCAAATCAATGCACGACTCTACACTATCTGTATAGCATGTGTGTAAGACTCGAATACAGTTATGAAGTAATAATTTTATGACGAATAAATATTTCAGTGAGTAAAACTGGCTATAGTATTAAAGACTACACAACATTATTATATTATCTTTAAATTAATTTTTTAATTATTATTATTTTAAATTATTGTCCCTGGATTAGTAGGGTACGCTTGTAATAAAGTAGCGTTGGTAGCGGGCAGATTTTAAGTATCAATTCTGCTTAAAAAGATGCAATCTAATCCTGTTTACATGAAATAAGCCTGCTCCCGATCAGGTGTAAATTTATGGACCTGTTGCTATGACAGCAACTCCGGGATCAGCTTCGAAGAACCAAACAATCCAAGATCAGGCCAAATCGTCAACAATCAAATCCAGCTAACTGAGTTAGCGACGTACGACGAACGGGCCCTGGTCTTCGCTTACCTAATGATATATTGCAATCTTGAAAGTGAAAGAAAGAAGATGGATCTTTCCAAACCGAGGATTTCTGAAGCAGTTGATAACTCTC